AAATACTAAAAGCATGGTAATTAGAACTATAAAGCACAAACTATGATCCCACAAAGTGCTATAAAATAAAAAGAAAAGACATACAAGAAACAAAAACACTAACTGTATTCCTTTAAAGCACAATGTAACATGTACGAAAAGCACTATAACTAGAACACTATAGCACAAAGTATAATCTCAAAACGTGGAATATAATAAAAAGGAAAACTAGTGAATCAACGAAAGCCTTAACTATGTTGCTTTAAAACACAATGAAACAAATACAAAAGCATTGTAATTTACACTATAAAGAACAAAGTATGATGCCATAAAATGCTATAAAATAAAAAGAAAAGGCTCTCAAGAAACAAAAACACTAACGGTATTCCATTAAAGCACAATGTAACATGTACGAAACGCACTATAACTAGAACGCTATAGCATAAAGTATAATATCATAAAGTGCAATACAATAAAAAGGAAAACTAGTGAAGAAACAAAAGTGCTGAATATATTACTTTAAAACACAATGAAATAAATACGAAAAGCATTGTAATTAGAACTATAAAGCACAAAGTATGATCCCATAAAGTGCTATAAACTTAAAAGAAAAGGCACTCAAGAAGCAATAGCACTAACTGTATTTCTTTGAAGCACAATGTAACATATACGAAAAGTACTATAACTAGAACTCTATAGCACAAACTATAATATCATAAAGTGCATTATAATAAAAATGAAAACTAGTGAAGAAACAAAAGCGCTAACTATATTACTTTAAAACACAACGAAACAAATATGAAAAGCATTGTAATTAGAACTATAAAGCACAAAGTATGATCCCATAAACTGCTATAAAATAAAAAGAAAAGACACTCAAGAAAAAAAAACAATAAATGTATTCCTTTAAGTCACAATGTAACGTGTACGAAAAGCACTAAATAGAACACTATAGCACAAAGGATAATCTCATACAGTGCAATATTATAAAAAGGAAAACTAGCGGATAAACAAAAGCCTTAACTATATTACTTTAAAACACACTGAAACAAATTCGAAAAGCATTGTCATTAGAACTATAAAGCACAAAGTATGATCCCATAAAGTGCTATAAAGTAAAAAGATAAGGCACTCAAGAAACAAAAACACTAACCGTATTCCTTTAATGCACAATGTACCATGTACGACAAGCACTATAAGTAGAACTCTAGAGCACAAACTATAATCTCATAAAGTCGAATACAATAAAAAGGAAAACTAGTGAAGAAACAAAAGCCTTAACTATATTACTTTGAAACACAATGAAACAAATGCGAAAAGCATGGTAATTAGTACTATAAAGCACAAAGTATGATTCCATAAAGTGCTATAAAATAAAAAGAAAAGGCACTCAAGAAACAAATGCACTAACTGTACTCCTTTAAAGCACAATGTAACATGTACGAAAAGCACTATAACTAGAACTCTATAGCACAAAGTATAATCTCATAAAGTGCAATGTAATAAACAAAAAAACTAGTGAAGAAACAAAAGTGGTAACTATATTACTTTAAAACACAATGAAACAAATACTAAAAGCATGGTAAATAGAACTATAAAGCACAAAGTATGATCCCATAAAGTGGTATAAAATAAAAAGAAAAGACACACAAGAAACAAAAACACTAACTGACATGGATACGAAAAGATCGGGACTTGCAATTCCACATATTACAATCGGACCAGTCTCGAGAGCTCGAGCGAAAGCGTGCATTGAAAAAGAAATTAGAGAATTGGAGCCCAACCAACGGACTATGTTACAACATGCGAGGACTTGATGGAAAGTCTAGTGCGAGTGCCGTGGTTGTAAAGGTTACATTGGAGCTTGCAACACCTCAACCGGAAAACTAACGGAAAAGTTGTGCAAACCTAGGAGTTTGCTAAAATAAAGGGTTTAATAGGTATTTATATAAACCTAGGTTGCACATGCTCAAATGGGGGGGGGGGACCATCTATTGGGACCACTTATACATATAGATATATAATAAACTCTCTCTCACATGCCTCTCACATGCAAGAGGGGACCATTAGCTAGGTGTCAATCAATGAGAGGTTACTTAGTTATACTAAACCTATCCCACATTGGAAAATCACTCCACTTGCCCCTTCCCCCACTCCTATAAATAGGACTCTTAAGGTGCTTTGTAAAACACACCAAGCAAGAATATTTTTGTGAATATTTGATCTATTATGATCATTTTCTTTTTATGGAAAGTTATGCTTGATAGCAATACTTTCTCTTTTAGTCTAATATTTCATGGAATGCAATTCCATTGCATGGTCCATGGGGTTTAGTTTAAAAATTCGGGTTTGAGTATAAGCCTCAAGTTCGTGGCATTTGGGGAAGGTGGAAGAGCTCTCCAAAGTGTCGACCGAGGTGGTGCCTTCGTGGAGGATGGTTCGATGCTAGAAGGGTATCGGGTCGTGCTTACGTTAGTACTTACTTAGGTTTGCTTCTCTTTCGATTATCCTTTTTCTTGCTTTATTCATTTCCGCTTAGTTAATTTGTTCTTTTCTTGCTTTGTTAGTTCGTTTATTTGTTCGTTCTTTCTCGTTGTTTATTAGATAGTTCCGTTTTAGTTAGTTTATTCCGCGTCTTGTGTAGTTCATCAATTCGGTCCATGACATATATTAAATTTTCGTATCAGAGCAGTTTAATCAATTTACACTATCTTTATTCCAAAAATTCCGAAAAAAAAAATTCCTTTGTTATCTTTTCTTTTTTATTCATTCCTCTAGTTGTGTAGTCGAGCTGTTTATTGCATATTCTTGACGTAGATTTGATCTCGAGTTTTGTCATTGCTTGGCCTTCTAGTGTAGACGATTTGATCCTCTATGCTTCCTAGTGTACAACATGCACGCTACATCCATATGCATTATATGAACTCAAGCTTGTGACTTTGTTGACGAGTGATTTTAATTGTACACTTCATGCTCTTGTTTGAGTTTTACGAGTTTGTTCTTCTTTGAGTGTTGCAAGTTTGTTCTTGTTTGAGTTTTGCGATTTTGCTCTTGTTTGAGATTTGCAAGTTTGCAGGTTGTTGAGTTCGTTGTTGTTTGAAGTGAGGTTGAATTAATTTTGAGTTGGATGTTGTTGGGGAAGTGTAAGGAGTTATTGTTGATGTATTGTTTTGCCTAGGCCTCATAATATTGCCGGAAAAAAAAAAAAAAACAAAACAAACAAAAAGTTGAAAAAAAAAAATTTGTTGCAAAGAAAAGAAAAAAAAAAGAAAACCAAAATATTTGAAAAAAAAATGAAATACAAAAACAAAATCGAGCGGGAGGACTAGAGCAATATTTTTGTCGATAATCTTGTTTGAGTTGTAGTTTTCCCATACGAGTTCCGTTTTTCGCGTATGATATGCCATTGGAAAGCTTGTGAAGTGGGGAGAAAGTTATATAAATCAGGTTTTGTGAGTTTTTAATTGACATTGATTATTCAGTTTTGGGTTTTTGAGTTTGGATCGATTTTGTGCTTGTCATATTCGTTTGACATGTTTTAAAAGGGGTTGATTATTGTGGTGATTTGGTGGTTGTTGAGATCTATTCAGCTAGTGTTTCTTGTTGACTTGCTTAGTTCCGGCATTTGTGTGTTGTGTACGTTTGGTCATTCGTTCGTGAATGAATGAGTTTGCACTACAAAAAAATAGTATATTTGTAACGGAATTTTGTCCCTAAAGTTCACGTAGCTAAGGTAATTTTATCCCTAATTCCGTCTCTAATGTCATTAGTAACAAAAAAATTGAATTTATGGACAAAAAAATTTTGTTACAAAAATGATATTTTCTTGTAGTGTTGGTTCTTTGCATTGCATGATTGACACTATCTTGAGCTTTCTTTGATTGAGTCGTGTTTAAAGTTTCTTGTCCACTTTAAACGCGAACGTCACTCAGGTTCCACCTTTACGACTCCATCAAGGCACACTTTAAGAGCTTGGAAACTCTACCCATTTGTCGAGAGGTATACACGAGTGTGCGAGAGGGGTGATTGTGAGGACTAAGTTTCAATATATATATATATTAGTTTGTTTTGGTGCAGGTATGGCTTCGTTGGATGATATCTTGGCTGCGATAAATAAGCAAAGCAAGGATATGCGAGATATTAAATACGAGTTAGGCGGAAAGATGGATAGCATGACATCTCGTGTGGATCAGCAAGGTCGAGAGATACATGACCTACGGAGTCAAGTAGGTCATGTTCGAGGTGACATAGATGATGTTGTGGATGCTCGGATGAAGGCTTATGCGGAGGCCTTGTTAAGGAAGGTTGATCAAAATATGGAAAAGAAACTCGATGAGGTTTTCGATAAGGTTGCTACTCTTGAAGAAAGGGGAAGTCATAGTGATGCTAGACGTGAAGAAATCCACCTTGGCAAGCAACCTATGGGCTCAACAAGTGTTTTCCCAAATTGATCTATCCAAGTTGATGACTTTGGCGAAAGACGTCATACTAGTCCAAGGCCTACATCTATCCAAGGCCGACGAGGAAGACGGGATGCTACCAAAGAGTTACTTGATGAATTTGACTTGGAAGAAGATACCCATAACCGAAGGAGCCAAGTTCGAGTTAATGAGGTTGATGATAACATGCAGTCCATCAAGTTCTCCATACCACCTTTCGTAGGATCGGCTGAACCTAATGAGTTTCTTGAGTGGAAAAGCAAAGTGGAGATGATGTTTGCATGTCATAATTACTCGGAGCGCAAGAAAATTCAGCTTGCTGTTGTGGAGTTTAAAGAGTATGCTCTTGTTTGGTGGGAGAAGATACAAGCTGATATTGCAAGGTCCAGAATGCCTCCGATTGAGACATGGGCAGCCCTTACTCTAGCTATGCATGCACGTTTTGTGCCCCCGCATTATCAGATGGATCTTCTTCAGAAAATTCAGTTTTTAGTCCAAGGTAGCAAGACGGTTGAGCAGTACTACAAGGAAATGGAGATGCTTATGATGCGGGCTTAGCTTGTGGAAGATGATGGAGTCACCATGTATTGGTTTCTCAAAGGGCTGAGACGTGATATTATGATTCAAGTGGATATGTATCCTTACAATTCTACTTTGGAACTTGTCCAACTTGCTACCAAGATTGAATCGCAGGGAAAGGTAGGAGTAAATGTGAGCTTTGGAAAGACGTCACCAAATTTCAACAAGTTTGGGGGTAATACAGGATCAACAAAATCTTGGCCCAAAGGAGATGATAAGCACACGACCAAGAATAAGCCGCTTAAGGTGGTTAAGCGTGATGAACCAAGGAGAGTCAGCAAGGATGGTTCACCAAACAAAGCAAAGGATGTCACATGCTTAAGTGTCAAAGGAAAGGTCATTATGCCAATACATGCCCTAATGTGCGAACTGTTGTGCTTTGTGACAATGGGGACTATGTACTTTTGTCGGATGCTGAGGGTGAAGATTGGGAACATGAGGTTGAGGCGAGTGAGGATGAAGCAATCCAAGAGATGGAAGAGCACGTTGAAGAGGATTCATCCGGGGAGTCTCTAGTGGTTTTGCGAATGCTTGGAGCAGTTCCCAAGGAGTCGGAAAAATTTGTTGATCGGGTTAAGGAGCAACGGGAGAATTTGTTTCATTGTCGGTGCAAGATTGGTGGGAAGCGAGCGTCGATAATCATTGATAACGGAAGTTGCACCAATGTCGTAAGTTGGTATGTGGTAGACAAGCTTGGACTCCAAACTATCAAGCATCCAACTCCATACCATCTTCAATGGATGAACTCTAGTGGAGATATGAAGATCACTAGGCAAGCCAAAGTTCAAATTTCAATCGGCCCATACAAAGAGGATGTCCTTTGTGATGTTACTCCGATGACCGCATGCCATGTGCTTCTTGGCCGACCATGGCAATCCGATAAAGGAATTATCTATGATGGCAAGACTAACAAAGTTAGATTTTATGACAAGGGCTACAAGGTAATGATTCTTTCTTTGCCATTGAAGGAGGTTCGAAAAGATCAAGAAAGTTTGCGAAAGAAGATGCAAGAGGCTGAAAGCCTTAAAAGAGCTAAAGGAAAAGAAGTATCCACAGAGAAAAAGAGAGAGTCTACTGCTAAGGGTTCCAACATCCTTCTTTCACTTACCGATTTTCAGAGAGAAGTTGGTGACCTAGATCATCAAAAGGGGGGTTGTTTTATGTTGTAATGCAAAGATTTATTTCATTCTGATAAAGATAATCTACTCACTAATTTTCCCATTCCCTTTGCGAGGATGCTTGAAGAGATGAAGGATGCATACCCGGAGGAACTACCACAAGGACTACCGCCCATTCGCGGGATAGAGCATCAAATTGACTTCGTACCTGGTGCTTCGATCCCAAATCGTCCTGCATATCGGTGCAACCCAGATGAGAATAAGGAGATTCAAAAACAAGTCCAAGAACTTCTTGAGAAGGGATGGGTTCGGGAGAGCTTATCACCATGTGCTGTTCCTGTTATCATTGTCCCCAAGAAGGATGGAACTTGGAGGATGTGTGTGGATTGTAAAGCGGTGAATGCGATTACAATTAAGTATCGACACCCAATCCCGCGCCTTGATGACTTGCTTGATGAGATCAATGGAGCGAGAATCTTCTCCAAGATTGACCTTCGGAGTGGATACCACCAGATTCGTATGCAACCCGGCGATGAGTAGAAGACGGCATTTAAAACAAAGCTAGGTTTGTACGAATGGTTGGTAATGCCATTCGGTCTAACTAATGCTCCTAGTACCTTCATGCGTTTAATGAATCATGTTCTACGTGCTTTCATTGGTAAATTTGTTGTAGTATACTTTGATGATATTCTTGTCTACAGTAAAAGTGAAAAAGAACATGTGGAGCATGTGCGACTCGTCTTTCAACGGTTAAGGGAAGAACAACTCTATGCTAATTTTAAAAAGTGCATATTCCACACTAATGAAGTTGTTTTCCTTAGGTTTGTAGTTAGCGAGGATGGCTTGAAGGTTGATGAAACAAAAGTAAAGGCAATTAAAGAATGGACACCTCCAATGAATGTGGGAGAAATTAGGAGGTTTTTGGGAATGTGTGGATTTTTTCGGAGGTTCGTGCCTGGTTTTAGCTTGATCGGTGCTCCTCTCACGTCCTTGCTCAAGAAGGGAGTCCCATTTAAATGGGAGCAAGCACACGAAGAAGCGTTTGAGACATTGAAGGCAAAGCTTACTCAAGCACCAGTACTTGCGCTACCAAATTTTGAGAAGACCTTTGAGCTTGAGTGTGACGCTTCGGGCAAAGGCAGGGGTGCAGTTTTGCTTCAAGAAGGTCGACCCATAGCCTATCATAGTGAGAAATTTGGAGGGGCTGCCTTGAATTACTCTACATATGACAAGGAGTTGTATGCGGTGGTACGGGCTTTAAAGACATGGCAACATTATTTGATGCCACGAGAGTTTGTGATACACACCGATCATGAGACCTTAAAGCACTTGAGGGGGCAACGACAGCTGAATCGAAGGCACGCACGATGGGTATCTTTTATTGAGTCATTTCCATACACCATCAAGTACAAAAAGGGTAAGGATAATATTATCGCGGATGCACTCTCACGCAGGTATGCTTTAATTTCATACGCGTCCACGCATTTATTAGGATTTGAGCATGTTAAGGAATTATACCACACTGATGAGGATTTCAAAGATGTGTTTGTTTTGTGTGAGTTTCATGGGCATGATAAGTATTGCAGACATGAGGGATTTTTGTATTATGATAATCGACTTTGTATCCCAAAATGCTCCATTCGGGAGTTACTAATACAAGAAGTTCACGGTGGTGACATGATGGGCCACTTTGGGAAGAATGCTACAATGGAAGCTCTTGGAGAGAAATTTTATTGGCCTGGAATGCACAAGCAAGTTACATATTATATTTCGCGATGCGTGACGTGCCTTAAGGCCAAGTCAACACTTAAGCCACATGGACTCTACATGCCTCTTCCACCCCCTGAGGGACCTTGGATTGATATTAGTATGGATTTTGTGTTGGGTTTACCTAGAACTGCACGTGCTAAAGATTCTATTTTCGTTGTGGTTGACAGGTTTTCCAAGATGGCGCATTTCATTCCTTGTGCAAAGACAAATGATGCTCATCACGTTGCCAAACTATTTTTCAAGGAGATAGTACGCCTTCATGGAGTGCCAAGGTCTATTGTCTCAGATCATGATGCAAAGTTCGTGAGTTACTTTTGGAAATCGTTGTGGCACAAAATTGGTACTAAGCTTCTTTTCTCCACATCCTATCACCCCCAAACTGACGGACAAACGGAGGCGGTAAACCGGGTGTTGGGTAATCTCCTTAGAGTTATTGTGAATTCACATAGTAAAAGTTGGGATAAATGTCTTCCTTACATTGAATTTGCATACAATAGACATATCCACACAGCCACACACATGTCACCATTTGAAGTAGTTTATGGAATGAACCCACTAACGCCTACTGATCTTTTACCATTGCCTAGCAATGAGTTCTTAAATGTTAATGGTAGGGAACGAGCAAGACGCATAAAGGAACTTCATAAGGATGTCAAAGCAAGTCTAGAAAAATCTGCGGAGGTATATGCTAAGTATGCTAACCGCGGATGTAAAGCTGTAATATTGCGTCCCGGCGATTGGGTTTGGGTTCACATGAGGAAGGAAAGGTTTCCGGCAAGACGACGTACAAAGCTATCACCCCGAGGAGATGGGCTATTTCGAGTGCTTGAAAGGATTAATGATAATGCATACCGTTTGGAACTTCCGGATGAATATGGTATTAATCCTACTTTTAATATTGCAGATTTATCACTCTATGATCAAGCCGATGAGGAAGCACAACGGTTGATGGCTCAACCTTCTGAAAGGGGAGAGGATGACATGGATACGAAAAGATCGGGACTTGCAATTCCACATATTCCAATCGGACCAGTCTCGAGAGCTCGAGTGAAAGCGTGCATTGAAAAATTGCAAGGCCTAATAAAGAAATTAGAGAATTGGAGCCCAACCAACGGACTATGTTACAACATGCGAGAACTTGATGGAAAGCCTAGTGCGAGTGCCGTGGTTCTAAAGGTTACATTGGAGCTTGCAACGCCTCAACCGGAAAACTAACGGAAAAGTTGTGCAAACCTAGGAGTTTGCTAAAATAGAGGGTTTAATAGGTAAATATATAAACTTAGGTTGCACATGCTCAAGTGGGGGGGGGGGGGGGGGCATCTATTGGAACCACTTATACATATACATATATAATAAGCTCTCTCTCACATGCCTCTCACATGCAAGAGGGGACCATTAGCTAGGTGTCAATCAATGAGAGGTTACTTAGTTATACTAAACCTATCCCACATTGGAAAATCACTCCACTTGCCCCTTCCCCCACTCCTATAAATAGGACTCTTAAGGTGCTCTGTAAAACACACCAAGCAAGAATATTTTTGTGAATATTTGATCTATTATGATCATTTTCTTTTTATGAAAGGTTATGCTTGATAGCAATACTTTCTCTTGTAGTCTAATATTTCATGGAATGCAATTCCATTGCATGCTCCATGGGGTTTATTTTTAAAATTTGGGTTTGAGTATAAAGCCTCAAGTTCGTGGCATCTGGGGAAGGTGGAAGAGCTCTCCAAAGTGTCGACCGAGGTGGTGCCTTCGTGGAGGATGGTTCGATGCTAGAAGGGTATCGGGTCGTGCTTACGTTAGTACTTACTTAGGTTTGCTTCTTTTCGATTATCCTTTTTCTTGCTTTATTCATTTCCGCATAGTTAATTTGTTCTTTTCTTGCTTTATTAGTTCGTTTATTTGTTTGTTCTTTCTCGTTGTTTATTAGATAGTTCCGTTTTAGTTAGTTTATTCCGCGTCTTGTGTAGTTCATCAATTCGGACCATGACACTAACTGTATTCCTTTAAAGCACAATGTAACATGTACGAAAAGCACTATAACTAGAACGCTATAGCACAAAGTATAATCTCAAACAGTGCAATATAATAAAAAGGAAAACTAGTGAATAAACAAAAGCCTTAACTATATTGCTTTAAAACACAATGAAACAAATACGAAACCATTGTAATTTGAACTATAAAGCACAAAGTATGATCCCATAAAGTGCAACAAAATAAAGAGAAAAGGCACTCAAGAAACAAAAACACTAACGGTATTCCATTAAAGCACAATGTAACATGTACGAAACGCACTATAACTAGAACGCTATAGCACAAAGTATAATATCATAAAGTGCAATACAAAAAAAAGGAAAACTAGTGAAGAAACAAAAGTGCTAAATATATTACTTTAAAACACAATGAAACAAATACGAAAAGCATTGTAATTAGAACAATAAAGCACAAAGTATGATCCCATAAAGTGCTATAAACTTAAAAGAAAAGGCACTCAAGCAGCAAAAGCACTAATTGTATTTCATTGAAGCACAATGTAACATATACGAAAAGCACTATAACTAGAACTCTATAGCACAAACTATAATATCATAAAGTGCAGTATAATAAAAACGAAAACTAGGGAAGAAACAAAAGCGCTAACTATATTACTTTAAAACACAATGAAACAAATATGAAAAGCATTGTAATTCGAACTATAAAGCACAAAGTATGATCCCATAAAGTGCTATAAAATAAAAAGAAAAGACACTCAAGAAAAAAAAACACTAAATGTATTCCTTTAAGTCACAATGTAACATGTACGAAAAGCGCTATAACTAGAACGCTATAGCACAAAGTATAATCTCGCACACTGCAATATAATAAAAAGGAAAACTAGTGAACAAACAAAAGCCTTAACTATATTACTTTAAAACATAATGAAACAAATTCGAAAAGCATTGTAATTAGAACCATAAAGCACAAAGTATGATCCCATAATGTGCTATAAATAAAAAGAAAAGGCACTCATGAAACAAAAACACTTACTGTATACCTTTAAAGCACATTGTAACATGTACGAAAAGCGCTCTAACTAGAACGCTATAGCGCAAAGTATAATATCATAAAGTGCAATACAATAAAAAGGAAAACTAGTGAAGAAACAAAAGTGCTAAATATATTACTTTAAAACACAATAAAACAAATACGAAAAGCATTGTAATTAGAACAATAAAGCACAAAGTTTGATCCCATAAAGTGCTATAAACTTAAAAGAAAAGGCACTCAAGCAGCAAAAGCACTAATTGTATTTCTTTGAAGCACAATGTAACATATACGAAAAGCACTATAACTCGAACTCTATAGCACAAACTATTATATCATAAAGTACAGTATAATAAAAACGAAAACTAGTGAAGAAACAAAAGCGCTAACTATATTACTTTAAAACACAACGAAACAAATATGAAAAGCATTGTAATTAGAACTATAAAGCACAAAGTATGATCCCATAAAGTGCTATAAAATAAAAAGAAACGACACTCAAGAAAAAAAAACACTAAATGTATTCCTTTAAGTCACAATGTAACATGTACGAAAAGCGCTATAACTAGAACGCTATAGCACAAAGTATAATCTCAAACACTGCAATATAATAAAAAGGAAAACAAGTGAATAAACAAAAGCCTTAACTATATTACTTTAAAACATAATGAAAAAAATTCGAAAAGCATTGTAATTAGAACTATAAAGCACAAAGTATGATCCCATAATGTGCTATAAAATAA